GCTGAATGGATACAAAAACAAGACCCATATATATGCTGTCTACAGGAGACCCACTTCAGACCTAGAGACACATACAGACTGAAAGTAAGGGGATGGAAAAAGATATTCCATGCAAATGGAAACCAAAAGAAAGCTGGAGTAGCAATTCTCATATCAGACAAAATAGGTTTTAAAATAAAGACTATTAGAAGAGACAAAGAAGGACACTACATAATGATCAAGGGATCGATCCAAGAAAAAGATATAACAATTGTAAATATTTCTGCACCCAACATAGGAGCACCTCAATACATAAGGCAAATACTAACAGCCATAAAAGGGGAAATCGACAGTAACACATTCATAGAAGGGGACTTTTAACACCCCACTTTCACCAATGGACAGATCACCCAAAATGAAAATAAACAAGGAAACACAAGCTTTAAATGATACATTAAACAAGATGGATGTAATTGATATTTATAGGACACTCCACCCAAAAACAACAGAATACACATTTTTCTCAAGTGCTCATGGAACATTCTCCAGGATAGATCGTATCTTGGGTCACAGATATAACCTTGGCAAATTTAAGAAAATTGAAATTGTATCAAGTATCTTTTCTGACCGCAACACCATAAGACTAGATATCAATTGCAGGAAAAGATCTGTAAAAAATACAAACATATGGAGGCTAAACAATACACTACTTAATAACAAAGTGATCACTGAAGAAATCAAAGAGGAAATAAAAAAATACCTAGAAACAAATGACAATGGAGACATGACGACCCAAAACCTGTGGGATGCAGCAAAAGCAGTTCTAAGAGGGAAGTTTATAGCAATACAAGCCCACCTTAAGAAACAGGAAGCATCTCGAATAAACAACCTAACCTTGCACCTAAAGCAATCAGAGAAAGAAGAACAAAAAAACCCCAAAGTTAGCAGAAGGAAAGAAATCATAAAAATCAGATCAGAAATAAATGAAAAATAAATGAAGGAAACAATAGCAAAGATCAATAAAACTAAAAGCTGGTTCTTTGAGAAGATAAACATAATTGATAAACCCTTAGCCAGATTCATCAAGAAAAAAAGGGAGAAGACTCAAATCAATAAAATTAGAAATGAAAAAGGAGAAGTAACAACTGACACTGCAGAAATAAAAAAGATCATGAGAGATTACTACAAGCAACTCTATGCCAATAAAATGGACAATCTGGAAGAAACGGACAAATTCTTAGAAATGCACAACCTGCCAAGACTGAATCAGGAAGAAATACAAAATATGAACAGACCAATCACAAGCACTGAAATTGAAACTGTGATTAAAAATCTTCCAACAAACAAAAGCCCAGGACCAGATGGCTTCACAGGCGAATTCTATCAAACATTTAGAGAAGAGCTAACACCTATTCTTCTCAAACTCTTCCGAAATATAGCAGAGGGAGGAACACTCCCAAATTCCTTCTACAAGGCCACCATCACCTTGATACCAAAACCAGACAAGGATGTCACAAAGAAAGAAAACTACAGGCCAATATCACTGATGAACATAGATGCAAAAATCCTCAACAAAATACTAGCAAACAGAATCCAACAGCACATTAAAAGGATCATACACCATGATCAAGTGGTGTTTATCCCAGGGATGCAAGGATTCTTTAATATACGCAAATCAATCAATGTGATAAACCATATTAACAAATTGAAGGAGAAATACCATATGATCATCTCAATATATGCAGAGAAAGCTTTTGACCAAATTCAACACCCATTTATGATAAAAACCCTGCAGAAAGTAGGCACAGAGGGAACTTTCCTCAACATAATAAAGGCCATAAATGACAAACCCACAGCCAACATCATCCTCAATGCTGAAAAACTGAAAGCATGTCCACTAAGATCAGGAAGAAAACAAGGTTGTCCACTCTCACCACTCTTATTCAATATAGTTTTGGAAGTTTTAGCACAGCAATCAGAGAAGAAAAGGAAATAAAAGGAATCCAAATCGGAAAAGAAGAAGTAAAGCTCTCACTGTTTGCAGATGACATGATACTATACATAGAGAATCCTAAAGATGCTACCAGAAAACTACTAGAGCTAATCAATGAATTTGGTAAAGTTGCAGGATACAAAATTAATGCACAGAAATCTCTTGCGTTCCTATACACTAATGATGAAAAATCTGAAAGTGAAATCAAGAAAACACTCCCATTTACCACTGCAACAAAAAGAATAAAATATCTAGGAATAAACCTACCTAAGGAGACAAAAGACCTGTATGCAGAAAATTATAAGACACTGATAAAAGAAATTAAAGATGATAAAAATAGATGGAGAGATATACCATGTTCTTGGATTGGAAGAATCAACATTGTGAAAATGACTCTACTACCCAAAGCAATCTACATATTCAATGCAATCCCTATCAAACTACCAATGGCATTTTTCACAGAACTAGAACAAAAAATTTCACAATTTGTATGGAAACACAAAAGACCCCGAATAGCAAAAGCAATCTTGAGAACGAAAAATGGAGCTAGAGGAATCATGCTCCCTGACTTCAGACTATACTACAAAGCTACAGTAATCAAGACAGTATGGTACTGGCACAAAAACAGAAAGATCAATGGAACAGGACAGAAAGCCCAGAGATAAACCCATGCACATATGGTCACCCTATCTTTGAAAAAGGAGGCAGGAATGTACAGTGGAGAAAGGACAGCCTGTTCAATAAGTGGTGCTGGGAAAACTGGACAGGTACATGTAAAAGTATGAGATTAGATCACTCCCTAACACCATACACAAAAATAAGCTCAAAATGGATTAAAGACCTAAATGTAAGGCCAGAAACTATCAAACTCTTAGAGGAAAACATAGGCAGAACACTCTATGACATAAATCACAGCAAGATCCTTTTTGACCCACCTCCTAGAGAAATGGAAATAAAAACAAAAATAAACAAATGGAACCTAATGAAATTTCAAAGCTTTTGCATAGCAAATGAAACCATAAAGAAGACCAAAAGACAACCCTCAGAATGGGAGAAAATATTTGCAAATGAAGCAACTGACAAAGCATTAATTTCCAAAATTTATAAGCAGCTCATGCAGCTCAATAACAAAAAAACAAACAACCCAATCCAAAAATGGGCAGAAGACCTAAACAGACATTTCTCCAAAGAAGATATATAGATTGCCAACAAACACATGAAAGAATGCTCAACATCATTAATCATTAGGGAAATGCAAATCAAAACTACAATGAGATATCATCTCACACCAGTCAGAATGGCCATCATCAAAAAATCTAGAAAGAATAAATGCTGGAGAGGGTGTGGAGAAAAGGGAACACTCCTGCACTGCTGGTGGGAATGTGAATTGGTTCAGCCACTATGGAGAACAGTATGGAGGTTCCTTAAAAAACTACAAATAGAACTACCATATGACCCAGCAATCCCACTACTGGGCATATACCCTGAGAAAACCATAATTCAAAAAGAGTTATGTACCAACATGTTCACTGCAGCTCTATTTACAATAGCCCGGAGATGGAAACAACCTAAGTGCCCATCATCGGATGAATGGATAAAGAAGATGTGGCACATATATACAATGGAATATTACTCAGCCATAAAGAGAAATGAAATTGAGCTATCTGTAATGAGGTGGATAGACCTAGAGTCTGTCATACAGAGTGAAGTAAGTCAGAAAGAGAAAGACAAATACCGTATGCTAACACATATACATGGAATTTAAGAAAAAAAAAATGTCATGAAGAACCTAGGGGTAAGACAGGAATAAAGACACAGACCTACTGGAGAACGGACTTGAGGATATGGGGAGGGGGAAAGGTGAGCTGTGACAAAGCGAGAGAGAGGCATGGACATATATACACTACAAAACGTAAGGTAGATAGCTAGTGGGAAGCAGCCGCATGGCACAGGGATATCGGCTCGGTGCTTTGTGACCGCCTGGAGGGGTGGGATAGGGAGGGTGGGAGGGAGGAAGATGCAAGAGCGAAGAGATATGGGAACACATGTATATGTATAACTGATCCACTTTGTTATAAAGCAGAAACTAACACCATTGTAAAGCAATTATACCCCAATCAAGATGTTAAAAAAAAAAGAAAAAGAAAAGCTGCTCAACATCACTAATTATTAGAGAAATGCAAATAAAAAGTGCAAAGAGGTATCACCTCACACCAGTTAGAATGGGCATCATCAGAAAATCTACAAACAACAAATGCTGGAGAGGGTGTAGAGAAAAGGGAACCCTCTTGCACTGTTGGTGGGAATGTAAATTGATACAGCCACTATGGAGAACAGTATGGAGGTTCCTTAAAAAACGAAAAATAGAATTACCATAGGACCCAGCAATCCCACTACCGGGCATATACCCAAAAAAAACCATAATTCGAAAAGACGCATGCACCCTAATGTTCATTGCAGCACTATTTACAATAGCCAGGTCATGGAAGCAACCTAAGTGTCCATCGACAGATGAATGGATAAAGCAGATGTGGTACAAATATACAATGGACTATTACTCAGCCACAGAAAGGAATGAAATTGGGTCATTTGTAGAGACTTGGATGGATCTAGAGACTGTCATACAGAGTGAAGTAAGTCAGAAAGAGAAAAACAAATATCGTATATTAATGCATAGATATGGAATCTAGAAAAATGGTACAGATGAACCAGTTTGCAAGGCAGAAATAGAGACAGAGATGTAGAGAACAAACGTATGGACACGAAGGGGGGAAAGTGGCCGGGTGGGTGGTGGTGGTGGGATAAATTGGGAGATTGGGATTGACATGTATACACTAATATGTATAAAATAGATAACTAATAAGAACCTGCTGTATTAAAAATAAGTAAATAAAATGAAATTTTAAAAAAAGACATCAGGGCGAGGGTAACCTAGATTATGCAAAAAGGTTTTAAAAGGAAATAGACTTTTTGAGAAACGTATCATATTTTAACTTGAAATCCATGGTGAAGAGGGTGGTTGTCTTACCTATAGGGTAAAGAGTGAAGGGTTATTGATGATAAAGCTTGGCTGTTGCTCTCCTTTGGTTCCTTTGATCTTCACTTTGCATGAGTGGAACCGTCAGGATCTCTCTAGAGAGGACAGGTTCCGGCACAATGCTGCACCGGCGTTTCTTCTAGTGAAGCAAGAGCAAAATAGATGACATCAGGCTTTGGCAACTGATACATTTTAGTTCTTTCCACACATTGTTGATACACCTTAGCTTCTCTCTTTCCAGGGAATTTGAATCTGATGGGGAGTCCAAAGATGATTATCACTGAGCCACCTGCAGCAGGGCCTCTGAGAGACATGGAAACTCTACAGCAGCGCCCCATCTCTTCAGAGTCTCGATATTCAATCCCTCTTTTGACCCCACGATCTACATTAGATACTTCTTCGATTAAGATGTCCAAACACTTAGACTCCTAACTGGGTCTTAAAATATTCTAAGCCAGGCTTGGGTCCAGGGCCCAGGTGGAGGTGGTGAGGCGTGTTGAGATGTGACAAGATGTGGCGATGGTGGCCCTGTCACTGACGGCTGCATCAAGACCATGTGGAAGGTGGAGGGAGAAAGGAAAGTTGGGTGCTTGCACACGTTGGTCAGGCTGGTTTCTGTCCCCAGTGACCTAAGATTTCAGTTGACGTGATGCCAAAGCAGGGCTGTGTTCCCTTTGGCCCCTGCACCTGAGCCCCCGATCTTGGCAGGAATGTGAAGAAGCTCTTGCCGCCTCTGCCGTGCTCTTGCATCTCACCTGGGCATGTGGCCCTCTGACAAAACAGCTCTGTCTTCTGCTGCCTGGAGGCTCCTCTCTGCAGACGGCTCAAACCTGGTCCTTGTGAGGCTGAAGTGCAGACACTGTCTTTCCACCCTCTGTCTCTGCCCCCAGGCACTAGGACGTAAATGTCCTCTCCCAGCATTTAGGCAACAAAGGAATAAATAAGTGAAAGTCAAATCATGCAAGTCTCCTTGACAGAGGCCAAGTATCTCTGTGTTGCCAAACTTGCCCTGACACGCCTGAGCTGAGAAGTAAAGGCCGATCAAACTCACATCTAAAACCCTGGATCATAAGGAAAATTCCAGCTAACAGGGACCGTTGCCCTGACCCCTCCCCTACGATGCTTCAGCAAAGAGCTGGTCTGGGAAAAACTCTACTCGTTCAAAGATGAGTCAGCAAAAAGGAAGCTGCAAAGGATCTCTCCAAGCAGAGGAAAGGGATAGGAAACGCAAGTGGCAAATGCAGAATCCTCACCAGAAACACTGCCTTAGAGCAGACGAGAGCTGTAACCAAACAACTGCCAGGCATTTTAAAAAACTTAATGAAATGGTTGCCTCTAAGAAGACAGAGTACAGGGAAAAATGGTGAGACCTCTGGAGGCGAAACATGAGCTCAGGAAAAAAAAGTGGAAAAAGAAAAGAAAATAGAAATTAGCCCAAGGAAGGAAAAACACTGCGGAAAATGTAAGGACATAGAGGGCAGTAATAACAAAAAGTCAGCAAAACTAAATGGAAATAAAAGGGTTTAAAAGGCAAAGTCACCTGATGTTTATTAACTGATTAAGCACCTATGATGTACCAGGCATTATTCTAGGCACTAGTGTAGCGGAGCAAAACTTGCCCACCCCAAAATATCTCTTTGCCATGCAGATTATTTTGAGCTGAAAACAATCAAGGCCCAAAAGACTCAGGAAGAGACTTTGATCTTCTCCTTAACTGCCTGAAAGAATTTAGATAGAGGCCCTGTTCCTGGAATAGAGCTATCACCAGGGATATCTGCAAAGAATATGGGCCAGGGGGCTTTCCTGGTGGCGCAGTGGTTGAGAGTCCGCCTACCGATGCAGGGGACACGGGTTCATGCCCCGGTCTGGGAAGATCCCACATGCCGCGGAGCGGCTGGGCCCGTGAGCCATGGCCGCTGAGCCTGCGCATCCGGAGCCTGTGCTCCGCAACGGAAGAGGCCACAACAGTGAGAGGCCCGCCACCTGGTTATCAAACAGTTGCTTTTCCATCTCCATATGAATTGCCTTCCTCCCCTTTGTAGCCCCAAACCACTTCCCCCAAAGTTGTCTTTTGTCTTTAGCTGAAGATAGTACTTAAGGTGAGGCTTTCACTCATTTTGGAGAGTTACTCAGCTTTCCTGGGGCTCACCCATCTATACATGTTATTAAACTTTCATTTGAAAGTTATTAAACTTTCGTTTGATTTTCACCTGTTAATCAGTCTCATGTCAATTGAACTCCTACACCAGCCAGAAGAACCTAAAAGGGTAGAGGAACATTTCTCCCTCCCTGACTCTGGGAATACAGCAGCTCCATAATGACACTGGCCAGGCCCTTACGGCCCTTGAAACAAAATTGGGTCTCGTTTTCTGCTTTCTACACCATCTACGGTCGAAAATGCAAAGACCACTGTCGAAGGATCAGGGGAATGGAAAGTGCCCATTGAACTGAGAAGGTATCTTGAGACAAAAAAATAAGGCAGGCAGCTCCGTATAATCAATGGATCCGTTGATTATAGGGTAACTTACTCACCGGGTGGGATCTGGATCAGGTGGCCCACAATCCAGAGCATTTACAGCTGCACTCACACCACCGAGGGGCCACGGGGACAATTTTGTAGTTAACCTAAGATATGGGGGCAGGTGCTTGGAAACAGGACATGCATTCCCAAGGCAAGATTTATGAATGGGTAATTAGTCTCATGGGTGCTGGGAATAGGTCAGCAAAGGTTTTCATCATTGTTTGGGGACTGACTGAGCATAGAGGCCACCTGGTCTTAATGATTATTAAACAGTATCTATTAACTACAAAGCCCTTGATGACACAGAAGTGATTTACTGGACAGTACAGTCCTGGGTAGGGTCAGCAGAAGGAAAGGAAACTGTAAGGTCTCAAGACGGGGTCAGTTATGCTAACAGCCATACAACCACCCAACAGAGGATCCATAGTCAAGGTATTCCATGGACCTCTCCTGCTCCCTCCCATTGACAGGCATCTGGTATGACCCAGCATTTGAATAGCCTCCTCAAAAACGAATTTTCCCAAGATTTCTAACTTTACCTTGTCATCTCCTCCACACCTTGGTCACTGTTATGGGCTGAATTGTGTCCCCCCACGCTGCAGTTTATAGGATGAAGCCCTAATCTCCCCAATGTGACTGTCTTTGGAGATATGGCCTTTAGGGAGCTAATTAAGGTTAAATGAGGTCATAAGAGTGGGGCCCTGATCCAATATGACTGGTGTCCTTATAAGAAGAGGAAGAGGGCTTCCCTGGTGGCGCAGTGGTTGAGAGTCCGCCTGCCGATGCAGGGGACACGGGTTCGTGCCCCGGTCCGGGAGGATCCCGCATGCCGCGGAGCGGCTGGGCCCGTGAGCCATGGCCGCTGAGCCTGCGCGTCCGGAGCCTGTGCTCTGCAACAGGAGAGGCCACGACAGTGAGAGGCCCGCATACCACAAAAAAAAAAAAAGAAGAGGAAGAGACACAGGAATGGGTGCACACACAGAAGAGGCCAGGTGAGGACACGTTGAGAAGGAAGCCAGCTACAGGCCGGGTAGAGGCTCTTAGCTGAAACCGAATTTGTGGCACCTTGATCGTGGACCCCTAGCCTGCAGAACTGTGAGAAAGTAAATGTCTATGGTTTAAGCCACCCAGCCTGTGGTATTTTATTACTACAGCTCAAGCAATCTATGTAATACAGTCACTGAATTAGATAGATTACAATCTATCTAATACAGATGCCCAGAGAGGGACCATCTCCTCTTTTTGTTTCCTGGGTAATGATCAGAACAAAAGTGGTGGTGAGCCATATAAGCTTATTTTGAAATTTTGAGATTCCACCCTGACCATTCCTAGGCATGATGTTTCTTTTTTTTCCCTAGATGCAACACCAGGCCAGGCTGGTGTATACCCTCCTGGTGGCAGATCAACCAAAAAGGGACTGAGGGGATCCAAACTGAATTCTGGTTCAGCCACGCAGATTTTCTTCTTGGCTTGAGATGGTCCTAGAGCATAAAGATAATAGCTACTTGGTTGACAGCCCTGCTTGGGGCTCCTCCTGGAGCAGCCCATGTAAGCACTCTTGTGGGTCTCTGTGAATTTGGTAAAAGTGCCCTTGTCCCTCTCGTATGTGACCCTTCTGGACGGAAGGTCTGGGCAGGTTGTGGGGATGACTGAAGGAAAGATGAAGGTATAGGCACTGGAACAGGGTGTGCCAATTTTGCAGTGGTAGAGGAAGAACAATAACCCTGGCATCCATGGAGGGCACGCCTTGGACCCTGGAGCTGTTGAGTTGCAGGGTCAGGGGTGCAATTAATGGCTCCTTGTCCACAAGACCTGGCACAGTCACACTGTCTGCCTAGACCAGGCAGCAGCTATTACTACAACCTGCCCTTCTGTGGGTTTTGTCACCCCGGTCTGAATACAATGAAAATAGGAAAATTCATGTGGGCACGGCCGCTTCTGAAGTACCCTTCTGTCCCTGACGCTGCCAGGCGCAGCCCCAGTCACGCCTCCCAGAGCCCCCTCATACTGCTCAAACACTCGGACTGATACAACCTCGTCTCTATTTGATGGACACAAAATTCACATGCTTCTTCTGATGCCCAACTCGTTATGCCATATGTGGTAATCAAGGCTGCATCAACTTGGTGACCTGTTTATGTTCCTATCTAACCCACCACAGGGGTGACACAAATCAAACTGAACAACTAATCCCAAACTGGAGTGACCCATGCCCCCTTGGATTGTCTCTTTGTATGTGAGGGAGAATGGGTCACAGAATGTCTCTCCAATGGGGTCTGAGTCTCAGCCCTGGAAAAGGCCTTCTGCAAGGTGACTTCTTCCTTGGGTACTCCTTCAGTCCTAGATCCACTCTTCCTGTACTTTTTTTTTTTTTTCTGTTGTGGTAAAATGAACATAAATTGTACACTTAAAATAGTTAAAATGGTAAACTTTGTGTCATTATGATGACATTCACGACATTGGATTAACCATCACCATTACCTATTTCCAGACTTTTCCATCACCCCAAACTGAAACTCTATACTCATTAAGCAATAACTCCCCATTCCCCTTCCATCAGCCCCTGGTAACCTCTACTCTTCTTTCTGTTTCCATGAATTCACCTCATATAAGTGGAACCATATATTTGTCCTTCTGTGCTTGGCTTATTTCACTTAGCAAAACATTTT